GCGTTAACAGATGCATGTAGTCACCTTGTCGCATTGATTTTCTCGAGAATCTTAAAAGCTACTTTTGATGTATCGTTGATAAATTTTCGAAGGTGGGCATAATGAGTCGCAATCAATAACACAACAGGCGGGAGGGGGAAGAGAAGGGGGAGGGTGGGACAGGCGCCAGACATCCTTCTCCTTCCCACACAGATCTCCGTCCCGTAGGTGCGTAGTTTTTAGCCGCTCATAAACAGAAATGAAGAAAAATGTTGTTCGCAAATTCCGTGGACATTCCAACAGGCCGAATCAATGATCAATCACTCCGGCGTTTCTCGTGGGCCACGTATGATTACGTGGACACGAAATCTCGTGCGTGGTATAATGTCTTGGGATGCTGCGCGCTCTGACGCAAACCCATCGCCTTGAGAAGTATAAATGCAGACGCGCGAATAGTAAATATAAAAATATATTTCACGTTTGTAAAATTGGTTACAACAGCAATTCGATTCCGAGCATCGAATCCGGCGTGTAAACGGCGCGTCGAACGCGCATTTAAACAAAGTTCACAAGTAACAAACTTTTAAAACACATTATATATATATTTATATGACAACTCTCTCCTTCTCCCTACAATATATTCCTTTGTGCTCTGAGTTTTCCTTTTTAGTTCGTATTACCCGATGCGAACATTTGTCATAGATCGCATATGTTCGTTTTATTGTCTCTCACAATCTTATATAATATATTTAACGACTCAATATACTCTTCATCACAATGTTGCCGTAAATTTAACGTCTGTTGTACGCGTGATGGGATTTGTGAGCTGGAAGGAAGAACATTTTGCTTTGTACTGTAAATTTTTTCCACCGGAAGAATGTTAACACTTACACTTGTAAAACTCGCCCAGGAAGTTTACGTTAGGCATCAGAGAGTGAACTTTGGGTAGAACCGTGGCTTTTGACACTAGGTCGGCATTTATATTCCAAATCTAGAAAAAGACGATACATTTTCAGTTCCAACTCATTGCGCGCCATTGGACGCCGCCACCTAATTTGAGATGCACGTACTTGAATAAGATCTTCCCGGTCGCGAATAGACACAGTCACCCCACAAATTTCGTCGTCCTGAGCCAGATGGTCGGCGAACTGTTCCCCGATAGCTGCGAGCACCACCTCTTTCCACACGCGCTCCTAAAATATCAAACAAGCAATGTCAGACGTGATGAAAGTCTCGCGGACAAGTTAACAAATTGATCGCCCAGACAAAATTGGCGCTCGTGTAAATGCATTAGAATATTTACGGTATCATATTTATGGCACTTTAATCTCCAGGTACCGCCCTTTTGATTCAGTTTGTCTTCCCACAAAGGGTATCTGTTGTCTCTCATTAAATGGTAACTGTATTTGACCTGTGGCGACAAAAATTTACGAATAACTTGTTGTAAAATGTAAATGACTGGTTGTAAATGGTAAGCGATGAGGTGGTGTGTCATAATTAAGTCATAAACGGCGTAAGTAAATGTTAGATAGCGTAACACAATTTAAGCTAAACCTAACGACACAATTAACGCCACTTATAAATACAACGGATATGTATTAATTAATCGACGTAACGCGAGGGCAATAAGAGCCAGACGCTGGATACTGAGTGCGGATATAACAATCTTTCGTGTCTTGTTTATTCGAAATTGACTATGTCGAACGTTTAACGAAAAAATACATTCTACACGCGGAAACAGAGTTTTGTTGCTGGAATAAAACTCCATATCTACATATATGAGGGCGATAAAATTTTTTGTCACAATCAATTTATTTGTCACCATACAAAGTTCTTTTATGTGAATAAAATAAAAAAAGCCTACTGGCTAAATGTCTTCGTAGGAACATACGAATTTATTGTCCAATTATAGGCAGATTTAAGAAAGCTATTTTTAGTAAATATATAATAATTAACGAAATTGATTGCGACAGTATAAGATACTATACTGGCGAGTTGATTTCATCCGTGGACTTTTACAAATTCTTCTCGTCGTACCTGCATAGCCCCCGCATTTGGTATGTTATTGAAGACCGCCCAGAAAGTTTGTATGGTGTTTACGGTATAGATCTTCTGCAGGTTATTTTTGTATTCCTCGGTGGTTGTGCCGGGAATGGCTCTGTTAATGCAGCAATTGTTTCGAATTAGCGACGCATTTGTTTTTTTATAGCCTAACTAGGGTACACACTCCCTGCATTTAAAGTAAAACAGCAGCTGGATTCTGTAACCCGTTGTCCAGCGTCGTTGTCGTTACATCAACGACAACGGCACTGCACAACGAGCCACGGAATTCAGCCGCAGGTTTGCAATTTGGCGAAAGCGAGGAGGTGAGCGCAGCAATAAAAAAGAAGCAAATCTTATATCTTTGACAGGAACCAATTTCGTTCTTGCATCTCTCCGAGATACGTGTCTCTCTAAGGCTCGGTTTTGCATTTTCTGGTTAATTGTTAACCAGAGGTCAGTCGACTCTCTGGGCCAATTTAACAAATGTTGGTTAACTGTTAACCAGAGTCCAGTCAACGCCCTATCTTTTTCCATCTTGTTCTCTAAGAAGAGACAGAGGATCAGTTAACCTTCGGTTAGCAGTTAACCGACGTTTGTGAAACTGGCCCTGGGTCTCTTCTCCTCAGATAATAAAAAGATGGTCCGGTTAACAGTCAACCGGACAATGAAAAACCGAGCCTTAGTTTAACAAACGGCAATAAACTCAGTCCAAATGACAGCGGCAAACTAGATAATGGCGCTACAAAACGTGGCTCATATCTTTTACTTGTTTCAATTATACATAGAGCCAAGTTTCACAAACGTTGGTTAACTGCTAACCTTAGGTTAATTGATTCTCCGTCTCGTCTTCTTAAGGCCAGTTTCGCAAACATCGGTTAACAGCCAACCGAAGGTTAATTGATTCTCTGTCTCTTCATAGATAACAAAGCGATAGGAAAGATAAGGACAAAGATAGGAAGTAGACTGAACTCTGGTTAGCAGTTAACCGACGTTTGTAGAACTGGCCCTAAGTAACATAGAAAAAGATAGGCAGAGTCAACCGAACGCTGGTTAACCGACGTTTGTAAAACTGGCCCATAGAAATGCGTCTGGAATAAAACATCCGATATCAGTATAGTGACGTAAAACGTTGTTCGCGGCAGAAAATACGACTAATGTCTCCTCGGTGGTCGAATTGGTTGAGACGCCCGCCTAGCGAGTGGAGGTCCAGGTTCAAACCCTGGCCGGGGTGATAGTTTTTCGCAATAAACTTAGAATAGAATATTTAGACACTGCCACCCTGTCACGGCTCCGAGTCCTTTAAATTCTTTGAAATTTGTGTTTAACACATACGAGCCATATTAATTTATTAAATACGATTAAGTCGTCAGTCATGATATAATTGCATCCCGAATTGTATTATGTTTGAAACGGGGAAACTTGTAGTCAACCCAACTGGCCAATTATTTAATCAATATATTGCACAACGTGTTTTGTATTATTTTTAATCAGCCGAATCCATCGGTGCTTGGAAATTTCTGGGGGCCAGTAGTTTCACAAACGATAGAAACGAAAAGTATTTCATTTCGCGTGCAAACGCACCGTGTCCACTGTGAAATTATCATTTATCTGCAACAACAATTAGACATATTTGTTCACCAGTGACAAAGCATTTTGATGAAAGTATCACGTGAGAAACTTATACGCGTCTGTTCTACCCAACGTAATCTATCGATTTTACACTCTAAACAATTGTACAGTTGATCGCGTTAATTTTCTCCCCTCCCCGCGCGCAACGGTAATAATAGTAACATCATTCATTAGCGAAACACATAAATATGAATAAAGGTCTCTCGGCGACGCAATGGCGGTTGCGAAGACAGCGGTGTGACGTACAATTTACGATTAATTCCTATTCGCGTTATTTAAACAGCCGGGGATCAGAGGTGACGACCTTCGCCGACGTCGGCGCTTCGCGGAACGTACGCGGTGTCGAGCCGCGATTTGACAAGTGCGGCAAGATAAGGACTGAGTGCACCGTCGCGTCGGGATGCGATTCGCACGGCGAAAACCGACAACGGAGATCACCGGGTTCCCTCTCACTTGTCGAGCCAGAAGGTCCACGGCGTCTGCAACGGATCGCCGGAGTTGTTATCCCTCTCGTTCGCGCCGACGGCCTCGTCCGACGACACCGGCGTTTTCAACAGGTCCGCCGAGGTGCCGTCCGCTCCGCATTCCGCCGCGGCCATGTTCGAAACGACGGTGCCCAGCAGCGCTACGACGTCACGAAAAAACTCATGTGATGATCACCGCCGCCGCCGTCGATGACCACGAAAACCGATGACGCGCGTCGAGGGAAAAAAAGGGGCGGGCGTAGCGGCGGAAGTGACGAAACGCGGAACGTCCCTGGGGACCGGCGCGCTTACGACGTCCGATTCAAAGCTTCGTCGATGTTGCGTTTCGAGATCGCACGAATTAATCGGCTCGCCGCGTCTTTATTGAGTTGTGAAACACGGACGGCAGCTTTTCTTCAAGCTGTCACTAATAAACGCCAAATGCATAAAACTTTTCTGGACTAATAAAGGATGTACCGTCATCGTCTTCTAACGATGTACTCGAGTTGTCGAAAACGATTTAACGACCTTGACGACCAATATATTTTTCAATTTTAATTTGTCTTCAATTTGGTTTCTACATTTGTTTCCTAATACGGTCGCGTTATGCAACAATAAAAAATACTACGCGACTATCAGGATGATTACAGAGTATTAACGTTATCGACTGTTTCAGTAATCAAAAAATAAAATTACAAAGTATGTACGTCTAACCAAGGCCGGGAAGTAACTCCACAAACAACACGCATGTCTAAACGACGTCTTAGAAACGTCTTACGAGAGACATCTTTAAGATTTTACGAAAAGACCGTAAGACGTCAGAAAAAAATGTCTTTAAGACGTTGTCAAAAAGATGTCCTTACAACGTCTTGTAAAGATGTCTTAAATTGAATACAGGGTGTACTAAAACCACCGGATATCCTTTCAATCGCAGATTCCTTAGACAATTTCAAGAGGAAAATTCTAATAAAAAAATGTCGAGGCTATGATAGTTTTTAAATAATAAGCGATTATATTTCACAAACGACAGGTCTGAGATTTCGCGCGCTCAGGCACGGCGACATGACGAGTGATAAAAGTATTCCTATGTGTTTCGCGAGCGAGCGAGAACCAAAGTCACCGTTTAACGGGACAGAAAATATTTGGGAAGACGATGATCCGGTTATTTTGAAAACTTGGGGATAAAGAGAGGCGGGAGACTAGATTGAATCTAACTGAAAATTCCAAGTTCACTCAGAATATCGGAGATCGACTAAATCGAAGGATATCAGTCTGATCAAGATGCTCATCATAGTGAACCCCTCCCTTTTATTAATAAGACGTTACGCAAAGTTAACAAAAGAAATGGTTAAAGATAACAAGAGGAACAATTAATTCGAGAACGAATCGTCAAGTCTGTTGTGAAAGTTGTCACTATGCTAAAAAGGGCGATATTCGTAGGAACACCTTTATCACTCGTCGTGTCGCCGTACCTGAGCGCGCGAAATCTCAAGCCTGTCATTTGTGAAATGTAATCGCTTATTATTCAAAAACTATTATAGCCCCGACATTTTTGTATTAGAACTTTTGTCTTGAAAGTTTCTAAAGAATTTATGATTAAAAGGATATCCGGTGCTTTTATGAATATACACCCTGTATATATTCTTTTATAGTAAGTAAAATTTTATGTTCCACGTTTGTAACGATTTAGTTATGTGGTTCGTGATTTGCAAGTGCTCAAATTTTATGTCGGGAAGTTGGAAATTGTCCTATTTAATACTCATAAAATTAGAAATTTATTGTAAACGTAAAACCAGGCCGACAATCCCGTTTGAATAGCGCGCGGCTCTTTGCGTAACCGCCATATTGGTCGACTTATCGCACGAGAGGTTTACGCGGGTCTTCGGCTTTGAACTACAGCAGTAGTCTGACGCGTACGAGACCCGTTATAGATATATACCGTGTGTTATCAAGTAAATGTTGAAATTTCAGCGGTTAGCGACTTTATTACATGTATTTCGGTCACTGTCTCTTCAGTTGACTTCAACTGATAACGAGTGTTCCGAGCTAACGCGTCGCACATCGTCATTAAACGCTACGCCGGACAATGCCTACTACGAAACGCTAATTAAATGAAAAATTGCGACACGCTCTCCAAGCCATCTGTTACCGTACGAGGACACGCGACGCGCGCTTTTCTTACGTAAAGAAATGGATTCTTACGTAAAGACAATCCATTTTCGCTCTTAACAGAGACCACACGCCGACGTGTGATGTCAGTGATAACATTCATTAATGACAGATAAGTCGATCTATCTTGGGAAGAAGTTGAGCCTCGTCATTCACACACACGTTGCGTTCAGCGTGCGTGGGAGTGAATAGATTGTTTCCGCGACTGCTAGTAACCCGGCGGATGCGTTCACTCACGAAGTGCCAGTGAATATTTTCTGTCTCTCTCGCGAGTTTTTTGTTCTTGTTCAGATAACATCAAAATTCGTGTTACACGAAACCTCCGTACTATAAAATGTTTTAGTATACGAATTTATTTCAGCAAATTGAACGCTGACGCTTAAACATTTTTTTTCCAAAAAGAAATATTAATCTCCTCACGTTTACTGTAAAAAATCAATTGCTAAATTTTATGAATGTATTAATTATTAACTGACAGACGCCGAACCCGTCTCTACTTGACGAAATTATCAACGCAGAGAAAAATTTCGATCGGACAAACCAACTAAATAGCGTTTCCGGTGGTTAATTTTTCCGATTACGTTTTCCGATTAAATTATGGATACTTCCGAAGAAATTCGATCGAAAAACCGATCATATTTCCATCGGATATATCCGTGTGTTATCATGTAATTGGATTATCCGATTATATTTAATCGGATATTTTTCTCAGTGAAGGCATCAATTATTCGTTAGATGTCAACGCATTAATTGCTCATTTTCCTTTCCCCAATCCGACTGAAATAATTATACAGCATCGATAAAAAGATTATTGTAAATATGCATGTACGTTAAAAATTGTATATCGATTTATTTGTATTTCATACACCGAGAAAAATTTCCATCGAATAAACCGAATAAGTTAAAGTGTTTCCGATGGTTAATTTTTCCGATTGCGTTTTCCGATTAAATTATGGATACATTCGATAAAATTTGATTGAAAAATGATCATATTTTTCATCGGATATGTCCGTTTGTTATTATGTAATTGGATTATATTTAATCGGACATTTTTCTCAGCGACGGCATTCATTATTCGTTTTCCTTTCCCCAATCGGAACTGAAATAATTATACAGTATCGACAAAAAGATTATTGTAAATATGCATATGCATTAAAAAGGGAATTGTACATCGGTTTATTTGTACTTCATAAATATACATTTTCTTTTCCCTCCTCAGTTGCATCAATAACACGTTCTTGGGAGAAGGAAGCATTTCAAGAGCCTCAAATTCTAATCTAAAATTTCAGTGTAACGGTACAGAAACTCCATCTCCAACTCCAGAATAGATTCCACGTCCGTCACGATCGACTGTCGGGCGAACCGCCCACCTGGGATTTAAATTAATCTCGTTTATTTCGGGGACACCCCGTATAAGCACGCATACAACGCATACAAACGCAGATCGACTTGTTTCAAAGAGCATCTTCGAGCTCGGCGTCGACGGCACTGGACGATATTCGTGGTCGGGACGCGGCAGCGAGCGGCAACAAGCCTTTCGCTCCTTCTCGCGTATTTTTCATCTCGCGTAGATCCGTCCGAAGCTGCGTCGTCACTTGCGAACGGAGACCGAGTTTCGTTCGCCGTTGCCTCCGCGAACCGTGACACGGCACACGTAAACGCCCATGCTAAATTTACCTCGCGTGTTGAAGCCGCGCGATGGATTCTTCTGGTTCACTGCAGCTTCGGGCTTGCCGTTGCCGCGCGCGTACATTGTGCCGCGAAACGAGAAGTTTCCTTGTGTAGCACGCGAGCGTCCTGTCGCTCGCTCTGGAACGTGACCCTTTGACGGACCTGTGCCTGCCAAACTGGCCAGCGCGTGCAATAGATTTGACAGAAGTACCCTCGGCCGCCCGGACGAACAGTGATTGACAATTCAATGGCAATCCTGGCAGGACGGACAAAACGGAAGTTTCGAAAGACGGAAAAGCACGCGGCGTTTAATCACTTTTGAATCCACGAACGATGTCGCTTAAAAGCACTTTGGCTCCAGTGTCCGGGAAAAAGTTGAAAGTTATATGCATTATACTTTTGATTATGCAAAGTAAAGGTGGACGGCGAGCAACGAGACGAAGCTGCGCTTCGTTAAAATATGAATAGAAGCTGTTGCGTAACTAAATTATTCACAGCTTTATAAAGTGTATACTAGCAACTTTTACATTTTTAATATACATATATCAACAGCTGACTTCACCTTCTGGATTCGATGGTGAATCATTTTGGTCGATCGACTATTAATCGTTGTGATTGCACGATTTCGTCATCCTTTTTATCTCCGCTCGGCTTATATCTCTAGACCTGCTGATTTTCGATAAGCATTAGTCGTTAGTTTGGTGTCGTGAAGACGTATTGAATTTTCTGGTGGAATTTGTATTTGTATCTAAAATCCGAAGAACCGTAATTCGAAAGGAAAAATATTTTCTGGCCTGCATTCGCGTGCGGCTGCGTCCATATTTTTCTCGCCACTTCCCTGCCGGAAATAATTCTACAAAATTCTACAAAAAAAATACGAAATTCTACGTAAATTTTAAGGGTTATAAAAATCAACGTGAAAACGCTAGAGTTGGAACACTTTTGTTCATTTTTGTAATATTCTACAAATCTACAGGTAAGCAGCCGTTTTAATTCTTTGAGATTTTGTTGTTTCTCGAATTTTTAAAACTAGTACAGTTTTGTACTAATTTTTTCAAAATTGTACATTTTCATAAACTTGAAATAATTTCTTGATTTGAGGACATTGGAATCTCTGGTACTGTTTCGTAGATATTTTTACAAAGAAATTAATGTTTCAACGAAGATATAAAAATTTCTACAAATTTCTGTTTCAAGTCAATTTTCTGTAGTTATTTATAGAAATTTGTTTCCGTTAGAGCTGCCGGAAAGGATTCTACAAAATTCTACAAAGCTATAAAATATAACTGCCGGAATCTAAGACATTCTACGTAAATTTAAAAAATGTTAGAAAAATCAACACGAAAGTGCTAGAGTGAAACACTTTTGTTAATTTTTGTAATATTCTACAGGTAAGCAGATGTTTTAATTCTTTAAGATTTTGTTGTTTTACAAATTTTTTAAACTAGTGAAGTTTTGTACTAATGTTTACAAAATTGTACATTTTCATTAAATACTACTTGCAATACTTTCTTGATGTACGAACATTGTAATTTATTTGCTATTTCGTAGATATTTTTACCAAAAAATCAAAGTTTCAACGAAGATATAACAATTTCTACCAATTTCTATTTCAAGTCAATTTTTTGTAGTTATTTGTAGAAATTTGTTCCGCTAGGGCTGCGCGTATGTGTAATAGCGTACCGCATTATCGTGGATATTTCACGGGTGCCGCGTTAACGATCTTCCGGTGGCACGTCAGTTCCGAGTCTATACTTTCGTGCCATCATTTTTCAATATCATTCAATCTTCGCGAAGGTCGATTTTAATGACAAAAGGCAGACTCGAATTCTATGGACAGAGCTGAACGCTCTACATGTACACGTAATCGTTGCCACACCTATTATCGAACGCTCAGTAGTGCGCAACAGGTTTTAGGTCGTAAATTACGTTCGTAATTCGCTCTTCAATTTCGCGCAATTCCCGCAAAGGTCGCGCTAAAGTGTTACGCAAGCGGACAATTTGAAATTTTGTCGAAGAAACGTAACTGCGGGAACGCTTTTGCGATCGTTCTGTATCTACTTTTCGCTATATCTACGTTCGCCGAGCGACGCGTAAGAATGCAAATTCTCAGATTATCGAACAGCCGTAAACGATTGTGTCATTACTAGTTTCCTATTCTTATGCGACGAAAAACTCGCGACGCGGTAAATGATGGTTTAATAGTTGACGATAAGCCGCGCGAAACTAGTACGTTCCTGTGTGCTATCGAGTGCTCGCATTTCGCTGGCTCGTGGCTGCGTAGAAGAACCGACCTCGTCGCCGTCGTCGTCTTGACATTTCCCGGTGAGATGCCGGCTAACGCATACCGCTGCCAGCATGTACAGACGAATCTCACACTATTCCCCGCGCCGAAAGTGGCTTTTTCTGGCCGCCTTGACTTCGTGCGCCGTGCTCGTCGTACTTCTCGCGCGGCATCCGTTTGTCGAGAATAACGCAGCAGCACGCGACACTTACCTGGACGACGTACCCGCAGACCTCTATCAGACAGGTGAGAATCCCCTCCAAACGTAATAAGCAGGGTTGGAAAGTAACTCGTTACTACTTTTTTTTCGGTAACTGTAACTTAACTTCGTTACTTTGTCTTCCATCCACTCGTCCATCCGTTATAACGTTTGATTGTGGTACATAAATAGTTATACTTCTTAAACCCATACCAGACTATGGATGGAGACCGGGGTTAGATTACGATTTGACCATTCATTGAACTCGATGTTAGTAAACTTTACTCTGATTCGTCAAATTTCAATCTAATATCAATCTCAATCCGTAGTCTGATACGGGCTTTTGTTTTAGCCATGGTATGTGCACGTTCCTAAACTCATTAAAGAAACGTGTCGCAACCATTCGGTCCATCGCTGTACTTCTTTCTTTTTGTATGTACAGAAATAATTCTTTACTTCACATATTCCTTTTGTCACTGTTACAGTGCTGCGTACATGGTACAACTTTTCCAACGGTAAGTAGTTCTAACTACGTGTAATTTATATTAGAAAAAAACTTGACAAAATTTAATAAAAACGTAATGTGCGTTTTGCAATCTTTAATCTAGTTCACACCGTTAAATCAGTTGGTACGCGCATTATGTTGGTGCGGAGTAAACGTATGATACGTCATTGTTTATTCCGATTCAGTTTAAAACAGATCAGGTCAGATTTTTATTCCACACGAGGAAGAGAACGTTTTCTCAAAATTAATCCTGAAAGTCATGTAATCGTGGGACAACGCGATATTTCGAAGAATTTTATAAGAGTCTTTTGAAATTTTACCATACATTTTATTAGTATACAGTTACACCTAGTATACATTTTATCAGTAGAACGTATGGTAACCCGTGGAAAATGGGAATATCTCATTACATCCCACACAGCACAGAAAAATTGCAGGAAGATTGCAGAAATGTTACATTGCAAGATTGCAATATTGCAGCAACGTTGCGTAACATTGCTGCAACGTTTCTGGAGGATTGCAGCAACGTTGAAATATCCGCCCTCAGAGAGATTGCAGTGCAACATTATAGCAATGTTGCAGCGCAATATTTTTGGAATAATTTGTTGTTTACATAAGAGAATTTACTAATTACATATGCATCCGGGCCTTTTTCAATACACAGCAAGTTATTGCGAAGCAACCTAAGGAGATTATGTCGCTTCGCAATAGATGGAGATTGCGAGCAACACCGCACTGGTCAAGTACTTAATAATTCGCGCATTATTGGTATCAACGAAAATAACATTATAAAATTCTCGTAATAAGAAAAATTTTTTAAATAGAAAATATAGTATTTTCATTATTTTTGAAACATTACTGCAATATTGCTATCGAAAGTTTGCGACTTTATATTCCTGCAATGTCTCTGCAAGATTGCACTGCAATCTGCAAGATTGCAACGTTTCTGCAATGTAACTGCAACCATCTGTGCTGTATGGGCCTTAGATATAAGAACGGACTATGAATACCGGCCATACAGTTCTTCAAAGAGAGCCACGTTGTCCCATTACATGATTTTCAAAGTATATTTAAAAGATAATTCTCTCCGTGCAGATGAAGTACCACTGCCGCGAAGACGAGCGAATGCAAGCAATGCTGCTGGATGCATCCATCATTAGAATTCAATCATGGTAGCCATGCGCGATAGAATCTTTTGACACGCGTACCAACTTGGTTTGATACCCCTGATACAGGAGTATCAGACTAGAGCGCACTGAGGAGATTTGTCGCTTTAAGGGGATGCTGGAGTGATTCTGCACTTTTGCACCTTTTGCACTTAAAACTGTCTGTTTCGTGAAAACATTTGTGTAATATACAAATTCAATGGCTCACGTGTACAGATCGTAAGCAGCTTGCTATTCCGGCTAAATTAAAGAACAATGTGGCATCACTGAAACTAAGTTTGTAAGTCTAATAAAAATTAATAGTGAGCAACACACACGTACAGTACTCGCTATTAATTTTTATTAGACTTAGAAACTTAGTTTCAGTGATGCCATATTGTTCTTTCATTTGGCCGGAATAGCAAGCTGCTTTCGATCTGTACACGTAAGTCATTTAATTTGTATATTACACAAGTGTTTCCGCGAACTGATAGTTTCTTATAGGTTAGGAAGGTGCAAAAGTGTAGAATCACTCCAGCATCCCCTTAATGAATGATGTCACAACTAGCACACGTAAAACAGGACTTCTTAAGTACAATAATTTTCTACTGATTATGCAATCGTAAAAAGAACTGAAAAAGATAAGTCAGAAATGCGGAACAATATTTGCTCTCGTGGACACTTCTGTTTCGAGAAACTCGCATTAAAACGTTGAAAATTAATAATGGCTCATATGTTATTGTTACTCTCTTACTAGACCGCGGCACTGCCAAATATAATTAGAGAAATCTGATCCAAGCATACACAGCATGATTGATCGAAGGTACAGCACGTTATTCTATACGCGCTTGAATTACATAAATAACAGCCTGTACAATGGTAATATTGCGAATTACTAACAATGTGTTTAAACCACGAGGTGATGCACAAAAGCCGTGTCTATCATTACAAGTAAAAATTTAAAATCTTGACACTGATTGACGTTTATCAATAGCGGAGTTTCAAAGTATAAAGACACAGTTAATTTTTGTTCATGTATTGTCATGCATTGTATTCTTACGGAATTTTCTGTATATCCGTTGATTCGTCAATTAAATTTGATAAATTCGGTAAATTGAAGAAATTTATTAGATTTCTAAGAACCTCTGCGATGTTGTATATTGTACAAGATGTTTATACGTTTTATTGTATGAATTGTAAGTACACGGATATGTGTAACTAAATTATATTGCATAGGAATGTGCAATTTTACTTTGCTGCTTAGCTGAAAAATTTATTCCACGGAATACATTTGACTAAAGTTTCGATAATTCAGATATAACGATGCAATTAATTGAACTGCGTGGACGTGCATATTTGCCTCACGTCTGGAGATTATTTTTATAAATTTGTAGATGCGAATTCTTTTCTTTAATATCATGTGAATATTTCTATAGGTAGAAATTATTATCAGAAAAATGCACATCTATTTCAGAAAAAAAAGTTAATTTACATTATTATTTTTAAACCAAGAGAAATTGACATTTTAATATTGTAAAAGAATATGTAGACTACGTGTCGTTTAAACTTGGACCCCACTTTGCTCGATATAAAAAGACTGGCACGAATTTTTTTGTCCTGAATTGCAAGACGATATATTTGTACTGTACAATCGAATATATAATAAATTCTTAAAATAACCAATAATTAACTATTGTTTAGGTGAAAAATGGTACAACAGGAAGAATTTGTCCGCCTTGAGCCCAGAAGCCTTTCACGATTTGTACATCGACATTCAACAAGATTGGATAATATGGAGTCACGATCCAGGGGAATCGTACCGGCTTCAGGAACCAGATGTGCAAGATCCATCGATAGGACAATCAGCTGCGATACGCGAAATTTTCAACGATAAGGTAGTAAAACGATTGTCACAATTTCGCGAGAAATGCGAGAAACAAATTCGTATTTTTTCAAGAATAAGCGATTCTACGAATACGTAAACAGCTATGCTCGACCGATGCTCTTTGCATATTAATAAATATCGAATTTCATTTATTGCTCTCTACAGAAGAACGGATTTTTCATAGAGTGCGGCGCGTACGACGGGGAAATGCGCAGCAACACATTGTTTCTGGAGCGGTTTAATGGATGGTCGGGTCTGCTGATAGAAGCGGATCCCATCAATTTCACCAAGATGCTGCAAAAGAACAGAAGGGCCTATCTCTCGCCGACGTGTCTCAGCATCACTAAGAGCCCCACGGTGGTAAGGAACAACGATCGATGATTTGTCATCGTTAACGGCGCGACTTCGAGACAGCGCCGTCGCGAAACCCGAGCACCAATTTTCGGCCCGGCGTGTCGCGCCGACATTACGCGAGCTCCGAAAAGTCTGACGAGTCCCTCGAAATTACAGGCGTCCTTCCTCATGGCCAGGAATGTAGGTCGTTTGCACGAGTCCAAGAACACGACGGAGAACGCGAACACGCCCGATGTGGCTTACACGGGGGAGCACGTGGGCGTGCAGTGCCTACCGTTGACACTTTACATCGCCGCGTTGGGCGTCGAAACGGTCGATTATTTCAGCCTCGACGTCGAGGGCAACGAGATCGACGTGTTAGAAACGATACCGTTTAACGAGGTGGACATAAAGGTACGGCACTCGCCTCGGTCCATCTCTCTGTTTGCACGACTGATGCCGAGATTGCACGCTGCGTACTCGCGTACTCTCGTCCCCCTAGAACGTAATGATTTCCGCGGCACGATGATCACGAGGTGTACGTGTGCATTTTAGGCCCTCTCCGTGGAGTACATACACAATGCAAAGGGACGGAAATACCTGATCGACATGATGGAACAACGGGGATACTACGTTTACAGTTTCGTCAAGCATCCACTGAATTTAGCGAACGACATCATTTTTGTAAAACGCGACGTGTGACGAATTGATACGAAAAAAAGTGCAACGTTTCTAAAATAATAATAATGTTCCTGTGTAGTTATTTTAATAATATCCAACCTCTGGATATTATTAATCTTATCTCGTTGACTTGTGCTAGTCGTAGTCGTAACAACGGACCGCTTTCGTCCAAAAAATTGATATATGCGAACAAACGTCTGAAACAATGAAGACATTCTTTTGTATTAAACAAGATATTTATAAAGCCATACTTTTGTAACGCTTTTAATAAAATAAAGTGCCCCTTTTTCTCTATTTACCATCTACGCTCCTATAGAAAATGTAATAACAAGTCACGCACAACGACATTTCGTTATCTTATAATAATTTTACAATGTCTTAGCAATTATGAATAAATAGGAATCAACGCAATTGTACAATCAGCAACTTATAAGCATGCATGGCACGTGGCATTTTTATTTGGTAGAAATTAACCGCATTTTCTTACAATTCTCTCAAAATTTTCTTCAATTAGCTAATTACATTATGGAGAACGTATTGCTCTCAGTTATTCTAATGAGCAGCTTATTTTAAGAACATAATTTGGTAGAAATGAAACATTACATCAACATAGATTAGTGCATAAGGTAAATAAGTGCATATCAATATTTTTGAAAATTGCTTCAGTTCGCCATTGAAATTAACAATTGATATTATTATTTATATTATGTAAGCTATTTATACTGTTTAATATTAATTAACTGTTTCGATAAAATATATCTGGATGCTTTATACGTCTGCTTCGTAACAGTTTCTAAATATTTTAAACTTTATAAATGGCTGGAACGTGCGTTAACGACGCAAATATTTTCGTATTTACTTTAGAAATAGTTGCAACGAAAGAGTTCAAATTGGAATAATTTAATGGATTGCGAAGATGACTTACGATTAAAACAGAAGGAATATTTATTGCTTGCTCACGATCAGTTACTTCGTTAAACAACAAAATTATTGATAACGAGTTTCTCTTCTCGAAAATAATTAACAATTATAGCGCAGATAAGGTACTTAACTCTCACGAAGATTAATAAATATTTCTGTGTCGATGAAAAATTAGTATCTTAAATCTCGTGTTACAATTACGCTATTTTTCACATTAAACTAAAATAATATTTTGTAGTCTTCTTAAAACAAAATTAATTTTGTGCAGTTTTTTGAATTGCGAGAGAATTGTTAATATGCATATTATTTAAATTAACATTAATTTGCATTTTTTAAAATTCTTCTAACATATTTGATGTCAGAATTTCCGCATTTTCTCTCAGTTCTCGATGGAATAAATTTCTTGGTAAAATAGAAGATGGTTTCTCCCACGCAAATGTTTACTAATGTAAGAGAATTAAATCCATAGTTAATTGATATTGGAAATTAAGCCAATTCGATTGCAAGGCAAATTTCTAATGAATTAAAAATGACGTTCGTTTTGACGGATATTTTATTTAAGTTTTAATTATCGATCTAACTTTTGGCATTTAAACAAAAATAATTTATACATTGAGATGCTTTGACATAAAATTTTACAAAGATTTTATACATAAGAATTCATCGAGAGAAAATGAAGGATTTCGGAGTTGCTTGTATACGAGTACAAGATTTTACAAGTACATTGTTTTTAACGTAATAATATATGTTCGAGTAGAGATGGTTCAGCAGAGTAAGTGAGCGCCAATTAAACACGTTTAATTAAGATATTTTATATTTGTATTATCTTATTTATATTTATACGTTTCAATCTAACCAATCATGATTGGAAATCGTTGCCCAACTGAACGTCAACTCTGTTCTAATATGCGCACTACAGCAAAATCGGACGTAATAGATTAAGTGTCATACGCAGATATTAATGTTTCCTGTAATATTTGTTATATCAACATAATTTTGATAATTTATTTACTACGGATGTGCACATTCACCAAATTTCGGTATTTTTATTAGATATTAACCAATTTTTATCAATAAGTACTTGTTTTTTTTATGAGCACAAAATAATATCCTGGCAAAGTTACCGTATAAAATATTAGCCAACTTTCAGTGGTGCTAAATTAATCAATTTGAAATAATATGATAATAATGAATAATGCAATATATAATAATAATGCAATAGTCTCATCTATAAATAAGTGTATTTCCTGAAACGTACTGTAATAGATAACGATAAATATTTAAATTGTCGGAATAACAGTTTTATTAAAACTAATGACGATGAAATCCTTTCAAGCGGTTAGATTATGTTGACTGAATTATATTATCGTTAAACGAACAATGAAAATATTTATCATGTCATATTTATCTCAGTCTTATTTTGTCAGGAAAACAGGTGATATTAAAAGACGAAACTTCGTATAACATTTTATATGACTATTCCTATAACAATTGCACAGAAGCTTCTTAATTTCTCAAATGCTTCGCGTAAAATCTGCCACCTTGTGTTAGCATACGATAGCTTCGAAAAGAAATAAATTGTACATCGCATTTAAATGCCTACGTCCACGTTAAAAAGTATTTCGCTTCTCAGATGCCAGCATCGTAGAAAATACCTACCGTACATACCACGTTCAATAACAAGACGTGTCGCTTAAAATTCAATTAATTTTCTGACTTATGTACAAAATTTGCGATTTCGTTTTCGCTTTTGTGCCGACTTTTAACAATATCTTGCTTCTGTCGTCGAATTTTATCGCTGATTCCATCGGAATAGCGAAATTCTGATCCCTAAAATATAATAAAATAATCTCAATGTCAATTGGTGTAAAAAAGTAAAAAAAAATGAAAAGATTATTTCGTTATTTCGCTTCGTACTCGGTTCTCTCTCGTTCTACATGTTTGCTTAATTGAATCTACATTAAATTTATCACAATTAAAGCGTTTAGGAACGGAAGTCGCGTACAAAGCGCCATTTCTACGTGAGTCGTCTTGGAAGAACTATTTCTACTTACCGTATACGTAGTTTATGTAAAATATATATGACAAATGTATAACGTATCACGTATAAAATCAAGGAACTAAGGTCATCGCAATCTCTGACGTTGCAGGTGTCTAATACAATTATTGTACTCTAATCTCGTTTGGACTTGTAAACCGTGTCTAATTGTAAGTTAACATTGACATAGTAACATTTAGTAAACATTCAGTTAACAGGTATTTCTTACTATTGCTACAAAACATTCAAATACTTTATATTTAGTCGTTAAATATCAATAAATATGTCCACTTAATTATACAATCGAATGGAAATCCTGGGATGTCATAATGAAGTACAACACACGAAAAGAGAGAGCTAGCATGTGTAGAGAGGCAAGAGAAAAGCCCGGCTTGTTGTTGTACAATTCTGTTCGATCTGTGTTTCAGCTTTCAACTGTGCTCGCTAAATTCAGATCGCTGCATCAAACTACTCAATAGAAGCATAAAAATAAAAAGGATAATCAGCGATTCGAAATTCAATAATTTTAAACACAGGAATCTCTTTAAGTTGCCAGTTATAAATAACAATAATCAAGCTTTTCAGTCGACGTTAACCGGCCAGTGTGTTTTTTAATGCAGAAAATTTATTAAATTACATGCCTCAGTGGGGGTGCTGGAGTGATTCTGCACTTTTGCACCTTTTGCACTTAAAACTGTCTGTTTCGTGGAAACATTTGTGTAATATACAAATTAAATGGCTCACAGATCGAAAGCAGCTTGCTATTCCGGCTAAATTAAAGAACAATATGACATCACTGAAACTAAGTTTGTAAGTCTAATAAAAAATAATAGTGAGCAACACACATACTACATGTACTTGTATGTATGTGTTGCTTACTATTATTTCTTATTAGATTTACAAACTTAGTTTCAGTGATGCCATATTGTTCTTTCATTTGGCCGGAATGGCAAGCTGCTTTCGATCTGTACACGTAAGCCATTTAATTTGTATATTACACAAATGTTTCCGCGAACTGACAGTTTTTAGGTTAGAAAGGTGCAAAAGTGCAGAATCACTCCAGCATCCCTTATTCAATAATTTAATTCTACAGGACGATAGAGAAACGAAAGAATGAAGAAAGATAATTAACACAAAATCACCTAATAAAGTAAGCGATTAAACGTAACTCTCTTGCTTCTTCTTAACGATATTTCCGGCCACGACGGCCGTGAGTAAAGGCAATCTGATTTGTTTGTCCGCGGACGCGTGGTCGTTGCATGGTACCTTCGCGTTGCTGCTCCTGTTGCTGCTGTGTCTTCGCCAGAAGTCCGAGTGGCTGCTGCTGCAGTTTGTCGAGCCGGTCGTGTAGGTGCCCGTGCGCTCCGACGTCTTCTTCTTCTTCCTCTTGCCGGGTCCCAGGCCGCACAGCTTGAGGAAGCCCTCCCTGAATTTCGTCGACATCAAATTGTAGAGGATCGGATTGATCGCCGAGTTCAGGTACAGCATCACCCTGCAGAAGTACAGGAGGCTGTAGTAGCCCTCTATGCCGAGCGAGACGACCATCTTGGGCGGCACGATGATGATCCAGAGGGTGAGGGCTTTGAAGGGCAGCAGGCACAGGAAGAAGCACAGCACCACCGTCGCCAGCATCATGACCACCTGCTTGCGATACTTGAGCAGATTGTTCGCCGGCCCGCGACTTATCGCCGGATTCGCCATCAGGTGTTTGGCGATCACTGTGTATAGAACTATCAGGATCAGCAGAGGGAGCACGAAGAACACGAGGATCGTCGTCAGGATGAAGCCCGTCATCCACGTCGTCGAAGCCGGCGTTGTACACGTAGGTATGTACGTACCGTCGACGTTCTCCTCTATCTCGTACGTCACCATAAGCAGTATGGGACTAGAACGTGTTAAAAGACAGAGATCGATTATTGCAGGTACGCGCGCACATTCATACAGCGAAGCCCCGCGGTGAATTACCATAATGTGAACGTCGCCTGACACATAGCGTTTCAACAATGTCCAAAACACATCTCGCGACATCTTGCAGAAAATATCATGGCGCAAATAAATTTCTGTTATGCAAACTACACGCTCGACAAATAATACATTAACAATTTCTCAAACTTATGACCGAAGCTGCGGGAGGAGGATGGTAGAATCGTTTGACACAGAACGTTCGCGACAATTCCATATATCTCCGTGCCAAGAAAAGAAAAGGATATACGAGAAATACTCGTGTAACATTTCATGCAGCTCGGGCAGATTCTATCTATTTAATCGCCTGCAATGCCGATAATGAGATCACATTTAAACTTTTCGCGCGTCCGCGCGGATCGTTTCATGATCCGCTCGCGATTCTCGGGCGTAACTTTCGCGGGAGTCGGCAAAGTTTAATATCTCGCAGAATGTCGAAAGATTTCTCGCACAGCGCCTCGCTTCGCTTTATCCAACTGTACGCTTCTTTCCAATAGTCTAGTACAAAGATAGGAATACAAATCATTATTCCTCAACGCTTCTATATTCTTCTACAAAGATATATACTTTTTCAATATCTCCGTGCTTCTTTAATTACGTAATCACAATTGTCCATTGCTCCTATGTCCCTCGTAAGCAATTTTCCGATACTCCCAGCGTTTTTTTTATAGCAATTGTATCCTTTTTTTAATATCTTCATATTCTTTTGCACCGCATACGCTTTTTTTCAATATCCTTCTTTAACAAGCGTCTCGGATTGAACGGTGTTCTCTGGTGTTGAAAAAAAACATTTAATGCTAATTTGTTATCTAACTAATGCGTCGTTGATCAGTTATTTCTTTGAACGTAGGAATTGTGAATCACAGTACGTCGCATTGCGTTAATGTCGTCCGATCATAAAAAGTTCTCTTCCTGATTCAGGTCCTCCCGCTGATTCGCCGCGACCCTCCTCGCGCCGACCATGCTCCTGCGCGCGATTCCCTCGCTCTCAAAACCGCACAGTTTGAGGAAACCCCGTCGGAACTTGCTACTCATTAGATTGTACAGTATTGGATTGCTGGCGCTATTCAAATAGAACATGATCCTGCAGAAATTGAGCAGACAGAGGAACGTGTCGTAATCAATAGCGGCTATCTGCTCGGCGGGCGCTATCACGATGTAGAAGATGAGGAGCCGGTAAGGCGAGAGGCACACGAAGAAGCTGACGACTACCGTCAGCAGCATGTACACCACCTGCCTCCTGGCCCGGCTATGGTACGAGTCGCCGGTGCCGCTGGACGTCGTCGACGAGTCGCGGATCAGGTGACTCACGATAAACGAGTACAGTACCACGAGTATCACGAATGGCGCGACGAAGAAGAGCAACACCAACAGCAGGAAGAACGTCACGCTGGCGACCGTGTCGGCCTGCGTCAGGCACATCGGCACGCGATTCACCTGACTCGCCGCCTGCTGATCTCTCCCGACGTTAGCAACGACATCGTGCGCGATGCCGTGACTCGTCATCCTCATTTCGCGATACTGCGACACCCAGATCATCGGACTGCAATCAATCGGAAAAAAAAACAAACGAAAACGTACTTTACTTCACCTCGTCTTTGCTGCTGCGACGAAACTGCGACTTCCGGCTAAGTCGACTCGCGGTGGTAAGCGGACAGAAGAAAGAGGCAGCGAAGCGAACGGAGTTTACTCGACGTCTGATTGCTTTGCAGTTCAATAATTGAAGTACAGCTTAGGGTGGAAATACTTTTCGCGGGGATAGATCAAGAGCACGACGTAGGCTGATGAGATAAAGACAGATTATGCAATACATTGATGGTATAACATCGTCTGCACCAAGTTAAGACGTGCTTAAGGGGATCCTAAAGTCGCTGGCGAACTCGATCGGTGTCGATAAGGTAGGAGACGGAATTAAAAAGGTCAATTATCGACATTTTTAATTCCAAGTTCCACTCGGTCCGAGAAATTCATAGCCAATCAATTTGCGACTTTTACGAAAAAGCAGCAATTAGCTACACATTGCTCAGATCGAGATTTTGGATCGAATTCTAGCATCAACGCCCTGGGCTTTATTGACATTCTGACAGATATTTGGCAACGACCTCTCGAAAAAGCCCGCTGCTTTTTTCTCTTCTTCTAGACTTGGATTTCTGGACTTGCGTTTATTAAAAATAATCTTTTATTAATCTTAGTTCTCATTGCACGATATTGTTCTTATATGTTGTCCCTAGAGTACGCTGGTCTCACTTGGTATACATTTATCGTAGAATTTTTGTGTCAAGTAAATATCGTCGTCAAGTGTACCAAAAATTAGTAAAATTTTTTCTTTTTCTTTTTCATTTTTGACATAAAGTCGACCAGCGTAGTTTAGAGTTTGCTGCGTACTTTAATTCCGTAAAAGAGTTTTGCATGCCTGTAAAGCCAATTAAAAGATTACTTCTAGCAAAGAATGTCGGTAAAACAGACGGCTTTAGGATCCCCTTAAACGGCTTCCCTAAAGTCACTTAATCTTGTCGTAACTTAGTAGAGACAAATGCGTATGACAAAGCCTCGTGAATTACTATTCGTATAATCGTATATTGCAATTGTATCTTGTAATAATTGTTCGTGGTATATGTCTAATATAAATTACGTCCTTCCTTAGAGCGAAGCGATCAACCTATAATGCATGATAAGTTGTTAAAAATGGTAGAAAATTAAATCACAGATTTGAAATTATACTTTTATTACATCGGCTAGATTTTAAGTTTAGAGTATTCTATTCATATGTCAATGTGCAGCTGCGTTTTTAAAGTACCTGTCAACATATAAACCTAGTTACGAATTTTATTTCGTAGATTTAAACCTGGAATATCAAGAGTTTTTTTTATCAGTATCGACGTAGTTTTATTTGAAACAACTATCAATGAATGTATACGTATAATAAAGTTTATTTCTCCTCTCTAACAGTTTTAAAAATATCGTACTTTATCTGTATTGATTTTACCTACATTTTCTCTCTGTTCTTATCACAAACGGTCTTGCGTGTGATATGTATGTTATGTAAATTGTATAGTAAACGTTTAAAACTAATAGCGGATTCGTAGAGGCTAAGTTCATTATTTGCGCGATTAAAAAATAGCTTTCTAAATAGGCATTTCTGCGCCACTCTGTGCTAAAGTTACTGCATCACGAACTACATTACAGCACGTATCACGTTCATCTAAAAGAAAGAATATTCCTACGAAAGCAACACTTCGTTTCGCATCAATTTGAGAAGAGTATCGTAGAAAAAAATTTCTCCCCGGAGGGTTTACTGCTAAATGATTGTTGCGACACTAAATATTTTCCATACAAATAAACAAGAATATGCAACAGAGTACTTTATACTTTCAATATCTTATGACTCTTAATTCCGTGCAACCAAGTTAGATCCTTCAATTCTTAAGAAGAATCATGGTACAGACTAGATTTTTGTATTGTTTCTTTATAATAAAAAATTCAATAAGACTAGAGTTATCCTGGCCAAATTAATGTGAGTTTGTTTTGGATTAATACCTGAACAATTAAAAACTTGTCTTTAATTCTCTAGAAATTTGTTTACGAGTTTCTTGTAGAATTCGAAGAATTGGTAATAGATCTTTCAATAATCCAATTCAACTTGAGTACAATTATTTCACTGAAACACAGATTTAACACGAGCGAAAATAACACAAAATATTTTTGTTTAATGTGTTACCTTCTTTCCGAATGGATTATTTCATATTTGTTTATCAATTAATTTATTTAATATTATTAAAATTATTATGCCTTAGTCGATTAAACAATAATGTGTCTTTTCTTAGCTTTCTTTAAAAAATATCTAAAAACTATTCAGATAAAATACAGAATTGCTGCCTGAATCCATATTGTACACATGGAAAAGAAATGTGTTTATTTGAGTACACTTGATTCGCAGACGCATCTGTTCTATTTATGTACAACGCAGTTGAAAACTATTAAAAACTTATACATACGAACAATTTCCTTTGTAAAATTGTGAAGTGTTGAAGAAGTTATCGCTTTCCACCGCGCTTTATGAAAACAAGTGAAGAAGAATAGCGAGTGTTTCCGTACGCTCGCTTTCCCACGCTGTGAAACAAAATATCGTGCTTTTTTTCTGTTCCCGGTACTTTACGGGCACTTTACACAAGCTCGAACTCGATTTACGCGCGCGAATGACAGAGTAGGATCGAGTTTCCTCAAATGCCTGGCGAAATGTGATTTCGATAATTGCGTGCTACCATTTATCTCGGCGCGCCTCCGCACCTGCGTAAAGAGCGACGATCTTTTTAATCCTTTAATAGAAAATGAAATGGCAACGTTATATGGATACTCTTATCAAATTCTTTCTGACCAGTCCATTTAAATGTACAATCAAGAATCTTTGTTACAACTTGAAATGGATTATAACAAAATAAATTTGGTATTCTACAATATCAACGATTGTATCACGTTTAAATTGTGATAGAATACCGTCATTAAGTTTTTATTATTTTGAATTCCCTAAACAGTATTAAACTGAGTGATTCGGGAAATAAAATAATGGATAAATCAGTTATTAAGTAAAAACAATGTAAGACATAGAAAATGAAGAAGAAACAATGTACGAATATTTTGTGCCACATATTCTACTCTTATGTCATTACAGACTACGCGGAGAGGATTTTCTTTTAAAATTTACCCTAAAAATTAAGTAATCGTGAAACAACATGGCATTTTCAAGACCTTTGTGAGAGTTTTGTTACTAGTGAAATTTATGCTAAAATTTCAAAAACTCTCATAAAATTCCTCGAAACACCATGTTGTTCCACAATTACATGATTTTCAGGATAAATTTTAAGAGAAAATTCTCCCCGTGTACTTACACAATAAAAACTTAAATTAAAAAATATTTAAAAAAAT